GACATTTGATGTGTGCGGTTCAGAAGTATAATCCGCTCTTTAGATGCTGTGGATGCTTCAGGAGTTCCTGGATGAATCTTCCATGAACTCCTGAAGTAATTTTGGAAGTCTGAGGCTGTTTCTTGATTGTGTTCTTGTGAATTCCGGAGTACTCGTGAAACATCGTCAGCCTCAGCCCTAGTGCTGTTCCAATTCACAAGAACAGCAGATTGAGAACAGACAAATATAGCTTCACTATATGGCCTATTTACGGATTTAGTACGTAAAAGTTCAGATGAAGAGAGGACCGCGGCAACCAGCAAAGCTCTGAGGCTAACCAAAGCCAGGGCTAACGTTAGCCCGTCTGCAGGAGCCAGGCCTAAGTTTAGTCCATCCACTGAAGCCAGGGCAATAGTAAATCTGTCTGCAGCAGCCAGGGCTAACGTTAGCTCATCTGCAGCAGCCAGGGCTAACATTAGCCCGTCTGCAGCGGCTGGGGCTAACATTAGCCCGTTTGAAGTCCCAGAGTCCAAAAACATGACTGTTAGGTTAATTGGCTTCTCTAAATCCTCCTTTGGTGTGAGTGGTTGCTTGTCTCTGTGTTGCCGTGCGATGGACTGGAGACCTGTCCAGGGTGGATCCTGCATGTCGCCCGTAGACGGGTTCTAGTCAAGAATGGACTTGGCTAGAACACGAGTCCGTACTCGCATTCTTGTGAATTGGCAAACGGCCATTAAGTCCTGAGAAGGTTCCTTGTTTTCCATGTTTGTTTAAAATGTTCTCACTGAGTCCCAAAGCCTAGAAATCGGCTTCCAGAGCCGAGATGTCACTTAGTGTCCATCTGAAGTTAGACTCGGATATCTACTGCTCCTTTGGTCCTTAGAGCTCCATGCTGCTCAGAGGTAGATCATCCAGGTCCAGGAATAAACAGTCTCTGCAGAGATTAGTTCCAGTCACAGGTGTAACTCTTCTCTCGCGTGGCTCCCATGTCCCGCCTCCCGGTGTGACATCGTCGGATTGGTCGCTTTGAGGCATCTGATTGGCGGTGGCATTTCACTGCGTACAGAGTAGCTACGTGGAGGAGGAGAGACACACGGGTTGGTTAAAAGATTTAGAGATGCCACCGAAAAAAAATCTGTTCATTAGACATACGAAACTTTTTCATTTAAAAATGGCAACAGATTCTAAGTTTATAAAAGATGGTTTTATGATGCAAGAAGCTTGAGAAAACACATTTTGATCTTCTTTACTAGTTAATAAAATCTGTGCCTCTCAGAGGACCATGACTCCCAGTTCCAGGTTCAAATGTTTTCTATTGAACAGACAGAATCAGACTGCAGAGCTTCTACAGATCTAGAAACTTTGTTTCTAGCATCATTATATTATTAAAGCGGTTGATAAATCTTATTAAACAGAAAGAAGCAGGGAGAGCTGCAGATTTAAAGGTGAAACAGATTTACTGGGAAATGCAATAAAATATATCTCTAAATTTACCAGAAAGTTAACAAAAAAAAATATACTATGCTATAATTAAAATGCTTATCCAGATTTTTCTGGATGAATGGAAATGAAATTGTAAATTCTAGGGATGAATGATATATTGATTTTGGCATCAGAATTGGCTGTTATTCTGTATTTTTTATATATATATATATATATATATATATATATATATATATATATATATATATATAATGCACTCTCTCTCTAACATCTATACATATAACCATCAGTACATTATGGGTATTTCATGTTCTCATCAACAGGAAAGCATTTAATAAATAGATGTTTGAGCTCATTTTTGATAAATACAAAAACCTAAGCTTATAGCGCCCCCACCCTTAGAGCGCCCCCACCCTTAGAGCGCCCCCACCCTTAGAGTGTCTCCACCCTTAGACCACCTCCACCAACTTTTATCACTAAGTTACAGCCTTGGTTCCAGCCACCTGCATTTCTGGCTGGTTAAATTATTTAAATCACCTCCAACACGCCACTGGCCAGTGTGGTGGCCGGTGGGCTAGCCAGGGCATTGCGCAGGGTGGCCGTGGCCACTCCTGGCCGCCCCCTGGTGGCGCCACTACCTACAATGAAAGCAGAGCTATTGTGGCTCGAAAACAAACCAAAGTTGGTGGTTTCAGTTCAGTTGTTGATAAAAATCTGTTTTATTTGTGTTTTTACTTTCTTCCTAAATGGAAAGTTTTTAAAAATCTGAAATGTTTTTACTGGGCCAGAAAGTAATGGTTATGTTACAGTAAACATTTTAAGTTGCATTAAAATGTCTTGAATCAAGCTTGCGTTAGGCTACAGGAACCCTGAGTGATGTCATGTTAAAATAGCCATCATTTCCCAGAAGCAGCTTGTTTTACTAAACATTTGGAAAGAAACAGATAAGATGTGCGTCTTCTCACCACATCGACTTCTTCACAGATTCTTAGTGTCAAATATCAGCAAGCTAAATATAAACACCTTCTTTCCCAGCAGAAATTTCCAATGGACAGTGGCGCCACCAGGGGGCCACCCTGTGCGATACCCTGGCCCCCCTATGACATATTTCTGGAGGCATCACTGCCTACGGATCATTTTATCGTGACGGGACAACATGTTGCGTGTGGAAATATACAGAGTCACATTCACCAGCTCAGCTGTTAATCATTCAGTCGCATATTTCAGGTGTTTGGAAACAACTAAACTCGCAGCTCCGACCCGCTGCCTGAAGCATGACGCTGCAACACCAACATGAATGAGTGTTTGTGTTTCCTCAGGTCGGAGCGGGGCTCTATCGGGCGTTTGGTGTACGAGCAGGAGTCCTCAGGAGCAGAGCAAGGAGGAGAAAGGGGGATAGGAGGGGAGGGTGAAAGTGGAGAGGAGGAGCTGGCGGGGGGGAGCAGCGAAGCCGAATCTCTACAAGGAACCATCAAACACAAACCGAACGGCCGCTCCGTCGCCATGGCGCAGGGACAGACCCGCAGCCCCGCTAACGTCCCCCTGCCCATGCCGTCGGCCCGGACGCTGCCGTCTCACCCGCTCCAACACTCACACCCCCACCCCTCAGCCGTCCCCCACCTTCCCACCATCCTCCACCACCACCCCCAGTACAGCCAGCCGCACCTCATGCACATGCACCACGCCCACGGCGGCAGCCCCTACATGCAGCATCCACACCACTTCGCCCAGCACCACTACCACCCCCTGCACCACCAACACTTGCCCCACTCCTACCCAGAACCCCCTGCGTCGCCCCTGCCCTCCCCGGTTCCCCCCCTCACGCCTCTGTCCCCGCTGCCGCCGCCACTCACGCCCTCCCCCATGTCCTCTTCCTCGGCGCTCCAGAACCTGGAGGGGCAGCAGCACCTCGTCCACCACCCCCACCTCCATCACCATCACCACCACCTGCTCTGCTCAGACGGAGACAATGAGAGCGTCAACTCCACCACCACCAACTCCAACGACGACACCACCGTCAACAACTGCAGCTCGGGCTCGTCCTCCAGGGACAGCCTGCGGGAGCCCATGGGAGGGGCCACGCTGGGGAAGCAGACCTACCAGAGGGAGAGCCGCCACAGCTGGGACTCGCCCGCCTTCAACAACGACGTGGTGCAGAGGCGGCAGTACCGCATCGGACTCAACCTGTTCAACAAGTAGGTCCAACAGCAGGGTGGGCAATTCCAGTTCCTGGGGGGCGCTATCCTGCAACTTTTGGTTCAACACCCGGAATCAAGTAAGTAGATGATGAGGAGGCCTGCAGGAACTGGCTGCATCCTGAAGAGGTGACCTCGCCCTTTGATTCAGGCGTGTTGGACCAAGGATGGATCTAAAAGTTGCAGGATACTGGCCCCCAGCAACTGGAATTGCCCACCCCTGTCCAAGATGTCAGGCAGCTGCCATGTTTAGGGAACCTCCTATAACAGGGGTGTCAAACTGGTTCCAGTAAGGGCCATGCGGCTGCAGGGTGCCTTTCCAACCAAGCAATAGCTCACCAGACTCCAGTCATTTCATAATGTCATCATGTTCAGATTGGACTCACTTGATGAGATGACAGGAGTCTGGTGTGTTATTGCTTGGTTGGAAAGAAACCCTGCAGCCACACGGCCCTTACTGGAACCAGTTTGACACCCCTGTCCTATAATGTATGCAGCAGCTGTATGTGGAACCAGATTGTGAAGCTTGTTTGATGAGCTCCCGTCTGAAAACTGAACATTCATTGAAATCAGGAGTTTAGGTTCTTCCTGCTTCCATGCTGCAGGAAACAGACCTACACCTGCTATGAACCAGTGGGGGGACGTCAGGACCACTGATCTCTGTTTATTCCCTGATTGCTGATTACCTGTTGGTAGTATGGGGTGGAAGTGAAGCCACCGGCCGCCATATTGGTACTCCCTAGTTAGACCAATATCAATGTAAACCATCCATGCGCTACAGCATCGAACTACGAAGATGTTCTCATTTTCAGGGACTTCAGACTTTAAAATAAAGATAAATTCATCAGTTTGACACAGACTGGCTGTTTCAGAGCATCAGTAGATTAACTTTGACTACATCAGACATCTGGGTCCAGAAGAGTGTAGTTCTAGGAACAGCTAAGATGCTGGCAGAACCCTCAAACTCCCAGGGCTCTGGTAGAGGAGCCCAGCTTAGAGGGAAAGAGGGAGACTGCCTGCAGTGGGTGAGGGAGTGTTTACTTTTTATATATATATTTATCAACATCTTGAGACAAGAAGTAGAATCAGTTGAGGGGTTCCCACTGAAGGCCGAGGTACCGGGTGCTCCGCCGGCCCCTGCTGTAAACCGGCCTCATCAGAGTGTTTGGAACCTGCAGCCGTCTCTCCTGCAACACCACCATGCAGGAGCGCCACCTTTACAGTAAAGTCTAGACCTTCTATAGTGTGAAGGAGCAGAGTAAGGAAAGTTTCTGCTGGTCCACAGGAAGCCAGAGAAGGGCATCCAGTACCTGATCGAGAAGGGCTTCGTGTCGGACACTCCTGTGGGCATCGCCAGGTTCATCCTGGAGCGGAAAGGCCTGAGCAGGCAGATGATCGGGGAGTTCCTGGGCAGCCGGCAGCAGTTCAACAAGGACGTCCTGGAGTGAGTGTCCAATCCCATTTCTACTGTTCATTCAGTCTGAGCTAAAGTTCTGTCTGAATATCTGAAGGTGTAAAGGTTGTTACCATGACAACAGGCTAAATGTTCATTTGATTTGTGTTTATCTGACTGTGTCCATCATTATTCCTCCACTAAATCAAAAAGTCAGAATTTATTATTATCTAGAGACTATTAATAACAGGAGGGGAAATGCAGCTCTAGAAGAGCCGAGTGCGCTTCTGTTCTAATTGACCCATATCTATGCTGCGTGCTCGCGTTCTCGCCAAGTCCATACTTTCCTGTGTTCTTGCCAAGACCGGACTTGGCGATAACGCAAGTCCGCACTCGTGTTCTCGTGAATTGAGAAACGGCCATTATTTTCATACATCTATTTTCAAACATTCCATCTCATTTGGTTGCAAACATCGTTAAGTTTCCTAAGGATGCTGCCACCTGTGGCCAAAACACAGAACTGCAGCACTTCTCATACCTCAAACTTCACAAAGTTTTTTTTTTTGTCCTTACCTGAAAGTATCAGTGACGTCTGATTGGAGATGACACTCAATCTGATTATTAATAATGTCCATGTTAGACCCATTCAACATGGATGGGCTTAGCGCCAACATGGACGCCTTTAGTATCAACATGGACGCCTTTAGCGTCAACATGGACGGGCTTAGCGTCAACATGGAGGGGCTTAGCGTCAACATGGACGCCTTTAGCGTCAACATGGACGGGCTTAGCGTCAACATGGACGCCTTTAGCGTCAACATGGACGCCTTTAGTGTCAACATGGACGCCTTTAGTGTCAACATGGACTTGCTTAGCGCAAACATAGACGCCTTTGGCGTCAACATGGACGCCTTTAGCATCATTATGGACGCCTTTAGCATCACATCCGCCAAACAGAGCAAAAACGTCGGACCTGAAGTAAATTCAGGTAAACAGGTTATAGAGGCATCAGTGCTGATCATCAAACCCTAAAGGCTCAAATAAAAAGGAGATTAAGTTAGTTAGTGTTATATAGGGTTATAGCCCCCGCCCCCCAGCATCCATCCCGGTGGCGGCTGCTCTTTCTTCACCATCTCAGCTCTTCATCAATGCTTTTATTTTATCTTTGTTATTTGATGTGGGAATGAGCTGCTTTTTGTTCTTTGAACATTTCTCATTAAATCTGAGTAATCTGTTTCTACAATAGCCTCAGCGTGTCGCATGTCTGAACAGATAGAAATATATTCCAGGAATCTGGTATCAGAGCGAAGCTGAACTCACTTCCTGCATGTCTTCTGTGCAGCTGCGTCCTGGATGAGATGGACTTCTCTGGGATGGATCTGGATGAAGCTCTGAGGAAGTTCCAGGCTCAGATCAAAGTCCAGGGCGAAGCTCAGCGGGTGGAGCGGCTGGTGGAGGCCTTCAGGTATCAGAGCCTCCACATGAAGCTCCTCGCCCAGAAGCTTTTAGACCTTCAGCTCTGTGTTTCTGTCCTGTCAGTCAGAGATACTGCGTCTGCAACCCGGTGCTGATCCGGCAGTTCCAGAACCCAGACACCATCTTCATCCTGGCCTTCGCCATCATCCTCCTCAACACTGACATGTACAGCCCCAACGTGAAGGCCGAGAGGAAGATGAAGCTGGAGGACTTCATCAAGAACCTGAGGGGTGAGTGGCTGAAGTTCAGCATCAACCCTAGATCTGCTGCCGCCATTACCTGCATCTTCATCAAACATCATCTTCATCATCATCTTCATCGTCCATTATCTTCATCAAACATCATCTTCATCAAACATCTTTATCAGCCATCTTCATCATCAGCCATCTTCATCAAACATCATCTTCATCAGCCATCATCTTCATCATCCATCATCTTCATCAGCCATCTTCATCAAACATCATCTTCATCACCGATCTTCATCATCCATCTTCATCATCCATCATCTTCATCACCCATCATCTTCATCATCCATCTTCATCATCCATCATCTTCATCATCCATCATCTTCATCATCCATCTTCATCATCCATCATCTTCATTACCCATCATTATCATCTTCATCCATCATTATCATCTTCATCGTCCATCATCTTCATCATCCATCATTATCATCTTCCATCATCATCATCATCTTCATCTTCATCACCCATCATTATCATCTTCTTTATCCATCATTATTATCTTCATCATCCATCATCTTCATCATCCATCATCTTCATCATCCATCTTCATCATCCATCTTCATCATCCATCATCTTCATCATCCATCTTCATCATCCATCATCTTCATCACCCATCATTATCATCTTCATCCATCATTATCATCTTCATCTTCCATCATCATCGTCATCATCTTCATCATCCATCATATTCATCATCCAGCATCATCATCATCATCATCATCCAGCATCATCATCTTCATCTTCCATCATCATCTTCATCATCCAGCACTTCATCTTCATCATCTTCATCTTCCATCATCATCATCCATTATTATCATCTTCATCGTCCATCATCTTCCTCATCCATCATCTTTGTTGTCCATCATCTTCATCATCCATCATCTTCATCGTTCATCATCTTCATCACCCATCATTATCATCTTCATCTTCATCTTCCATCATCATCTTCATCATCCAGCATCATCATCATCTTCATCTTCCATCATCATCTTCATCATCCATCATCTTCATCGTCCATCATCTTCATCATCCATCATCTTCATCGTTCATCATCTTCATCACCCATCATTATCATCTTCATCATCCATCATCATCATCATCATCTTCATCTTCCATCATCATCTTCATCATCCAGCATCATCATCATCTTCATCTTCCATCATCATCTTCATCATCCATCATCTTCATCGTTCATCATCTTCATCTTCCATCATCCATCATCATCATCATCTTCATCATCCATCATTATCATCTTCATCGTCCATCATCTTCATCATCCAGCACTTCATCTTCATCATCTTCATCGTCCATCATCTTCATCGTCCATCATCTTCATCATCCAGCACTTCATCTTCATCATCTTCATCGTCCATCATCTTCATCGTCCATC